TTTTTTTTTTTTTGTTTACTAATATGCCATTATTTAAGTTTTCTAGTTATAATAAATTTACTACTAGTTGATAATTAAATAAGGGTAAATTAGAAATATTTTTGGGAAAAATTACTTTTTTAATAATTTTAAATAAGATTTCTTAATTTTTGTGAAAAATAAAATCTGTTTATATAATTGAGACGCAAAATGTATCTTAATTTTATGATATACAAGCAAGCATGTGCATGCATATAGGAATTGAAGCCAACCCCTCCTCAATTTGATGCATACCTCACAACATAAATGCACTTCGATATCTGTATTTAAATTATTTTGGAACTTGAAAAGTGCGCTTTACGTGCATCGACGTAGAGAGCTTACCGAACCCAAAGCACACACTTTGAAGGAAAGGGCTTTGTTTACACGCAGTTAACCCCATCTTTGATGGTCATATTTTGAAAAAATGAAGTTTTAAATAGTGATTTTTTTTTTTGGAGAATATGTGATTAAAAATAAGAAAATTTTAATTTTACGTGTAAAAATATTTTATTGTATAAATGTGTGATTGAAAATTAGTATTTTAATAGAAAAAGAACTAGGGAATTTTTAGAGCTTGTTTGGGAGGGATTAAAATCAGATTAAAATTGAAAATATAGTCGTTGGAGTTGACTTTTATTAGACGAGTGGGACTCAATAACGGCTATATTTTCAATTTTAATTGGATTTTAATCCTTCTCAAATAAGCCCTTAATAGATTTTAATAAGTTGATGGAACTTATGGTTAAAAGTTTTGAGTTCTATAAAATATGTGGTTAAAATTAATTGTTGAATTTGACTTAAATTTCAATCAACTTTTTTGGTTGAACCAAACTAGTGAGATAAAATAAGATAAAATTTATGTTTTTCAACCTCAACCTTCATGAAATGTAATAAATCTATTATTAATCATTTTTTAACACAATTCACCTCAATATTTCAATTGTATAGCAAAACTCATTCTTCCGTCTATTTTGACATGAAATGACAGATTTGTCATCCTTATTAAATAAAAAAAATAAACAAAAGAAATTGGTAAAATAACAAAAAATAAGGACAAATTTCAGATAGAGTCTCGTAACTTTTCAAAAAATACAAATAAATTCAAATTAAATACATAAAATATAAAAGAAATGAAAAATAAAAACATCTTCACAAACCACTTCAACATCCGCCCGACCCAACCTTACCTCACACTAATCCACCTGCACCGCAACAGAACACCAATTGCGGATTGGAGCAAGCTTGGTTGGGGAAATGTTTATGTTAAATTTAGGGAATATTGCAGTCACGATATCAAACATATCATTTATGCAAACGTGACTGAGTACCAAATTTTCAAAAAATTTGCAATTCAAGTCCAAAATGACGATTTTCATCAATTTGACTACCAACATCGTCAGCTGACTCACAAAATAAAAAACTTTATTATTTTTCCCAAATAAGGCAGAGGTATTTTGGACAAACCACATTTCCCCCAAATAATAGAAGACTTTGCCCAAAGGGTTTGGTTTTGAAGAAGAAAGGGGCTTTGCAGGAGTTAATAGTTTCAACGGTTACTGAACTTTAAAAAGTGTCACGTTTCACTCAATGAACTTTATGATGCACACGATCACTCACTGTATTTAGTAAAACTGCACTCCATCACTCATTAGGCTGATTCCGTCTATACCGTTTGCAGACGTGGATGACGACGTTGACATTTGGCCGTTAAATGACACCAACTCGACATTGATGAGCCATGTCATCCCCAAACAAGTCTCTTCAACAGTCACTAAACTTTATAAAGTGTCACGTTTCATTCGCTTAATTTTACATTGCACTCAATCATTCACTGAACTTAGTAAAATTGCACTCCACCACTCACTGGGCTAATTCTGTCTACACCATTTGCAGACGTGGACGACGGCAATGACACGTGGCTGTTAAATAACTCCATCTCGACAGGGTTCAAGTGAAGTCATATACGCCTCAACACACATGTAGTAGGGATCATTACAATCATTATTGTAACTACATTTTCATAGTCAATCAGTACATTTAGCAATTCAAGGCAAATCTAGAGTGGAAAACGAACAGTATGCAGGCTACAATAAAGGAGGACTTGAAGATAAATATTATTAGAAATGTAGCTTGGAAGGATAGAAGATATGCTAAACAACTGATTAACGGGACTATCGAAGAACAATTTGGGTCACTAAGGTCGTATGCGGTTGAGGTTTTGACAACTAATCCAGGATCCACAGTGATGATAGCACTTAGTGTAATGGCCTCTCACCGGAACCGTTATCTTACGTACTGTCCGCTCTGGGGTGGGCGTCTGCCCACTTATCCTTTCACGACTTTCTGACGTGTCCCTCAAGATTAGAACCCAAGACCTCCATCATATGGGAGACTTAAGTTGAATTCTGATACCAATTGGGCAACTCTGGGGTGGGCTTCTGCCCA